ATGAAACATCGTAAACGTATCACAGGGGCTTGCTCCCGAAATGTAAACAATATAAATTAAAAAATATAAATATTTTAAAACCCATTGTGATGATTGATACAATTTAGTAGATCTACAAATATTTCTTTCTCTTTATTAACATTGTTTACATTCCGGAAGCACCCCCTGTGATCGTTACTTGCATACGAGTTGGATACCTTATGTTATTAATATACTATCATACTATGGGTTAAAAAAGTATTACAGAAACAAGTGCCTGTGGAATGCGAGTAGACCATTTGATTCTGAAAGGGGGAAGTGACTTGCAGATTTTGGAAATAAATAATCTGAACCTCAAAATGTTGAAAACAAATAATTTGTCCCCCCCCCCCCCTCCCCATGTGTGTGTGTGTGTGTAAGGGGGGGGGGGTGTTAAAATGTTAAAGTGGAGAAAAAATATATATAATTTTCTGTATTTATCATCTTGAAAATAGTTAGTTTGTCCTTCACTGGTATGGAAAGAAATAAGCTGACTTGAAATATAGCCCTCTATCCCCCCTTCTTAGAATGAAATGATTGTTCCCTTAATTTTGAAACATATTTAGCTTTCCTGTGCTGAAGGCTCAATTGAGCTTTGAATTCAGGCTCCGGGGCCATAAAACTTAGACGAGCTCACTTTTGATCTCAATCTCACTTTTACGAAAGGAATTATACGTGGCAAAGTGAGACTGAGATCAAAAGTGAGCTCGTCTAAGTTTTATGGCCCCGGGGCCTGATCTAAATTTGTAGATCAAATGAAAGATACTCAAATTAAAGGTCCCGCTCTCTTTCAATAGGAGATAATAGATAATTAGTGAAAATTTTATGACATTTTGATAAATATACATCTTTCTCAAGGAGCACTGGGCCAGGTAAGATGAAACTTATGTGCAAGCTTTATGTCCAGCATATAATCATCAGGTTTGATGGAACGCTGTACTATGTAGATGTAGATATAGTGTAGATTCACGATCATTTATAGTTTAATTGACCCTCTAGGGTAGTATCCCAAGTCAAAGTGGAAGGCAGTTCTTTGGCAGTTTTTTAACCTTCACAGTTCAATGCTGAAGTAGTTTTTTGACAGCTAGTTTACTAGCCTTCTCCGCTGTTGTTGGGTGAAGGTTTTTGCATGCTAGTCATTAGGCAGTTTTTATTAGCAGTCCACCATTTAAGCAGTTGCTAGGCAGTTCACTAGCAGTACCTTAGCAGTTGCTAAGCAGTTTCCTTGGCAGTATCTAAGCAGTCAGTAGGACGGTTGAGGTGAACTGCTTAAAAACTGCTAAGCAACTGCTATAGGCAGTTTCATTTGCTATACATATATGGAAATGACTCCACCTACATATAAATATGAAAATATATGAACTGCTTAAAAACTGGTAAGAAACTGCTATAAGCAGTTTTCTTGTCTACTTATAAGGAGATAACTCCACCCATTTATGAATATGAAAATGCATAAAATTTATGCTTCCAGGGTGATTCATTCATAAAAATAACATTACAGATGGGAATTTAGCTTAGTATTAGATTTAATCATTGTGTAGATGAATAAACATCATTTTTTAAGGATTTCATTTTCCACTCAATTATCATACAGGTATAAATTGTAAATAAGTCCTTTCATCAAGTTAATTTTCTTGCATTTCTTAAAAACAAGTGCCAACTTTAGAGCTTCAGGTCAATACAGGGGGTTAATCTGCAGATCCCTCAATCAGCAACTTTTATCTGCAAAAATTTTGAATTTATAATCATAATAGTTGCTTGTGAAGTGCCAGTCAATAAAAGATCATATAAATCAATATAGCCACTTATCTTGAAAGAATTATAAATTAATTACTGCATTTAGCTTTACAATTTGACCTAATATAACTGACTCACATATAGTTCTTAAAAAGAATCTGTCAGTCTTGTTGAAGAGAGTTTGCAATATATATATATATATATATTGAGGAATGTTTGATCCTATATTCAGAATTATAAAGTAACATTTATTACATTTATTTATCTAATGATGTAAATTAATTCATGTACATATGTAAACTGTAATTACTGATAAAATATTGCATTTACCATCTTTATATCTAAATTAAGTACTTATAATTATAAAATACAAACAGATTATGTTTTATAATATATATTAGTAATTTGAAATGAGAGAGGGGATATTAATATATCACAAGCCCAGACTTACCCTTTTCTCAGCATACTAGTGCCAGCAAATCTTTAAAATTTTCCTATCACCCTTTTTCATTGTTGCCGCATGGTCATATTAAATTGATCTTTAATATTTCCCATCTCATGGACTCAGATACATTTGTTACTAATTAATGTTCACATCCAATCCAATACAGTGATGACAGATATGTATTTCCCAAAGTATATTTCACTTCTTTACTGTATACATCTATATAATTTCATACCCTCACAAACATTAATTTGTACTGAAATTTTGAATTGGTCTGGAAAGAGCACACAAATCTTGACTGGCTCACCTCATTGGATACAACCCTTAAGTTTCAAGCAACCATGGGGGACACAGCAGGTTGTTAACTAGAGGACTGCATTTGCAAGTTGATGGGATAAAGATTAGAAGCTCATGTGTGCATGCCTTTTTAATGTGTAGCCTCAATTTATTATAAACTACTGTATCATTTCTAGTAAGATTTTAAATATATCTTTGTTTTTTCTAACTTTATTTTCTGTATAAGAAATTCCTGCCTGGCCCCCAATTATTTGTGATGCATTAACAGTAACACATGGTCAATTGTAATGAAGGCTAGTGAAAGCTAGGACCACCAAGAGTGACAAAGTATTGTATTTCCTCATGTGAGAAGCTGAAATGAATTAGTTGCACTTTTAGCAGTTTTGAGAAACTGCTTGTTTGACTGCTTAAATTTGTTCAATACTGAACTGCTAACACAAATTCTTAGCAGTTTCTTAACCAGTCTGTTAGCAGTTTTAAGGAATGCTAAGACTAAGACTGTTAGGAACTGCTTAAAAACTGCCCAAATACCTTCAGACTGCCTAATAACTGTTTATAAACTGCTAAAATAAGCAGTTCACTTTGACTTGGGATGGGGCAACATTGCGTGATCAAGTTTTACTTTAGAATATGTAGGAATTTTTTATAGAATTTTCTCAATCAAGCTAAGGCATAATTGTTCATACAGTAAAATCTCATTATCTCAAACTCCATTGGACCAAGAAAAAACTTTGAGATATCTGAGGATTCAAGATATCAAGGGTACATGTATATTACTTAAACAATAAGCAATTGGGACTTCGACATATCCATGGTATTCGAGATATCAGTGTTCTCGATACTGAAGTTCAACTGTATTTACATGGAAGCATTAGGTTGTGTTTTGTACGTTCAATCAAATTTGTTCAAATTATGACATGGGGGGTATGGTGGGGTCAATATGAGCAATTAAAGTTTTACAAAGGAATGTATATGGAAACAAATCTTTAAAAATCTCTTCTCAAGAACAATAAAAAGATAAGTAATATTTCTAAGGAAGCTGGGATCCTCATGTCTCCAGGGGCTAGGGTTGAGCCAGCTAGAACAGGCAAAACAATCAAGTTTTACTTCAGAAGATGGGGGGGGGGGGAATCTGCTTATAAAGAAGAACATGGCCATAGTGACTAAGGTGATCATTGTGACCATGGGCCTTTTGATTTCATGTTTTTCTAGTGCAGTTGCAGACCACTGTATTTAATTTGAAAAGATCAGTTACATGTAATGATTAATGAAACATCCCCTACAAATTTTTTCTGTCATTGTTTCAGATATGAAGTGCAACAAGGGTATGTCCAACACACTTTCTGTGACACTTGTCTTTGAATGCAAAGGATGTCCAAGATTCCAGTGATTGTAACAAGTCAATATGATTACCTGAAAAAGTGTGAGTTAATTTTTACATGTCTATGTATTTTTTTATTATAACTTAGAAATATGCTGTTAACAACATTGAAACGTGAAATAGATCAATTCAAAAAGACACTATGTTCTCTTAAAGTCTTAAAAGAGTTTTCCTTGTGTATGTGTAGGTCACAAGTACAGTCTGCAGAGACAAGCACTTCTATCATTGAGGAAAAGTCTGCATTGTCAAGTTCTTTGCATAGACAGAAAAGAGATAAGCAATGGGGTGTATGGACCAGACCAGGATTCAAGTCAGGGCCCCCTGAATCAGTAGTCATTTGCTCTACCAATTTAACTATCTGGCCACCAGAAATTGAACCCACCTAAATGCCCTATATGGATCTGTGGAACTCTGAAATATCCAAGTTTTATCAATAAGAGAGGTTTTACTCCACCTATGTCAAGTGACCATAATTTAACAATTCACTGTATACACTTCAACAAAACTGCAACCCAAGAAGAAATTGTTGTCCTATTATTAATCTTCTGGCTACAGAAAAAAAAAATTACATGTGATGTTAGTATAGTTTTTTATTATGTTTACTGATACTGTGGACCTTGTAGGATATCAATCTCCTATGCAGAGTTGTCATTTGTTCCTCTCTCAGACATGTATGGGCCAGTGGTAGAGAGTAGTAGAATATTTCACATGTATAATATTTTTACACAATACATTCAATTTAACGGCAGTCAAGTTTATAACTTAAGATTTTTTTTCCCCAATTCTAGCTCCCAATGCACAAGTATAAGTTTCATTTTTCATTCATCTACAAGTAATATAAAATTTTTGTCTTTTCTTTCATTTTCTTTTCTTTATGTTGTTCATATTTACCTTACACTCTTTTGAGTGAGGGCTGAATGAAAAAGCTGACTGTAGCCCAAACCCCGATTTCCTATTGAAGAAGCATTGGAAGTTTGTGCCCCATGCATAAATTGAATATATGTGTGTTGGCCTTGACCCAAGGTTATTTGATGAAGTGTGAGGTGATTTTTATCAAAATCTAGAATTCCTGTTTGACTATATCTTGTAATTGAGAACATTTAGAGGCTCATACTTATTGCAAATATTGAGCATGACCTGCGGTTATGACTGATCTTAAATCAAGGTCATTTTTAAGCAAGTTTAAGGTAACTGGCAGAAAAAGTGTATTACCTTTGTCAAATGCATAATTTGCAAATGATACTTGACACAAAGATTGCTTATGACTGAATGGTGTTTCATGACCTTATCCAATGTCAAGATTACTGGCAGTAAATGTGTGAAATTTGTTTTCATTTCATTACTCCCTCATGGATAAGTATTGAAACTGGAAACTTCAAAGATTATTTGTAAGCAGAAAGTACATCATAACCTTTACCCATGATATTGTGGCAAGTTCAAGGTCATTGGCAAAAAAAAAATTGCTCATGTCAGGTCCATAATGTCTTAATGGAGAAACAGTAAATATCTCCCTTTTATTTAAAGATTTATGATGAATAGAAGATGCATCTTTTCTTTCTTAACCAGTATCATTTTGGCAAGTTCAAGGTCACATTTAGAAAAGTGATATTGGCATTATCAGAAAGAAAAAATGTATAGGGGGTATAATGTTGGAGTTTGTTCACAGTTATTGAATTATATACCGGTAGGCATAGTTCAATTATAGTATACATGCAGGTAGAATCCATGACAATCCAGCCATAACTGGAAGGTATTTTTGAATCCTTAATGATAGAATTTTTGCAGATTTAGATTTTACTGACTTAACTTGGGAAGACCTCTTAAATAAAAAAAGTCACATAAGTATAAGCATCAGGGTGACTATACTTTATGATATCACAATTTTTCATAGCATGTATTACCAGTACAAAAAAAAAAACAAGTATTGGTATGTACATGTAATAACCTTTTTATCTTGAATTCAAATAAAGATATTGAAAACATTGATACATTGTTTTATTGACTTGGGAATAAATTGCTTTGTCATTGTTGAAATGTGGATACATGCATATACACGGTACCAGTAAGTAATTAAACTTTTTTCAAACAATTTTAGACATTTAAAAACAAGTAAATGTGCAGAGAGTGTAGAAGTCTGTGCATCACTTTTCTTGGCCTGGAATTCTTCAAACAGGACAGGATGGGTTTGGTAGGACACCCTCAGATTCTCAACTTTGTTTAGGTAGTTGCTTCTTGTGATTCACCTGTGAAATTATTATTTCAAAAATAAATATAACAAAATGTAGTAATGATGTCAAGCTAAGCAAATAAAGGAATAGATAATATAAAATTTAAAAAAATATGAAATTGAGAGAGGGCCAAACTAAGGGTTTATTATTAATTCATAATGGAAGTAAACAAGCTTGAAAGACACACAATTCAATCTTAGAACATGTACCTGGTATTTCTTAAAATTTAAGTTCATTTACAGTGTATGTAGGTGTCAACCTTTCATCATCTACTTCTGTATACAATATTGAAGGGTTTTAATTTGTAAGATAGAGTGAATTAAAGTTATACATGTATTCATTTATGTGTATTTAACATATCACCATAAATGTGATGATGCAGAATGGTCTACAAACAAACTTATTTTGTGTGATCTCATAAACTACACGTGTCTTCCTTCTGTATAAAATTTGAAAGCTAAGGATATTATAAAAAAACTAATATTGTTGACGGAGTTAAATCCCATTCCCATATAAATGTTCAATGAAATCGATTCATAGTGATTGGACCCTTGCAACTATAGTTGTCTTTCTGTAATGGACAATTCCTCTGTGTAACATTTTTTTAAGTAATGAGGTAAATCAAAGATTGTTGAACAGATGGAATTCATTAAGATATGATTAATATATTTTATTAATATTTAGTCATGCAATCAGTAAGAATAAATACCTGTTGGCTCTCTATTCCCTTAGGAATACACCAGGTCTAGAACACAGTCCCAAGTTAGCTTAGAGTACATTGATCAATCTCAGCTTTCCACTAGCTGGCATAATGACAAAGGAGGGGACACAACTCAGATGTCTCAACCTGCAACACACAAATTATTTGAAGTGACCTGTTTTACACTATATCAGAGATAAAAAAAAATCTCCCAGTCATGGTTACTTTATGGAAGGTATACTCAATGAGTTGTGCCATAGTCACTGAAACTGCTTTCTGTCAATACCAAACAGCCAATTTCTGGCATAAAATTATTTACACCTTTTGCATTTAAATAAAATTAAATGAAAAGTGATTTGGAATATTACTGGTGTGTACCCTAAATGACTGCACTGAACCGTAAACTTTGCTTAATTTCAGAAATATTTGATTTCAAAAATATTAAAAAAAAATTCCGAGGAATTGTCTGAGAATGTACATGTACCATGATAGATTAATTTTGCTGGGAAATGAAAACAAAGACCAAAGGGCAAGGATTTTATTTTACAAACTAGATGTGTGTGGTAACATCACAAATGCCCCCGCAGACAGCCAAAATTTCAAATTGCAAATTGTAAATTGAACATATGTAGTCAAGATAATGATTAGAAATTGATAATTTTTAAATCTTTTCCAAGTTCAAAGGGGATAACTGTCAATACCATGACCAAATTTAAACTTGACCTGCATATTCCTATGACGTATCCATATATCAAATTTGAGTTGAATGTGTACAACTGTTGCCGAGATAATGAACGGAAATTCAATGATGACAGAATGACTGAACAGGGTAACACTAAATGCCCCCCCCCCCCCCCCCCCGGACCATTTTATGGCGGGGGCATAAAAATTCTGAAGATTAAGGGGTACCTAATTCTCCTACATTTCAGATGACAAGGAAAGTATTTCTATTCTGCTAAGGCAAATTTTCAAACTTCTAAAAAAAAAAACAAGTTCAAGCTATAGATTTCCATAAAAGAAGTGTTGCAATCATGACTTGGCAATCCATTATTATAATTTTTATTTCCATTTCACACAATAGAATTTGCATAAAAATCAAAGAATGTCTTGATCCCTTTCCTTTAGTGAGAGCAGAAAAAATTAAAATTAGACCCAACTAGATCACAATGTGTAGTAATCTTGTTGGAGCGGAATAAAGATATAATTTTAGTTAGACTGAATTTATTTAAATTTGTTAATTTTTTTGTGCGATTTATTGAAAGATAATGACTAGCGCATATTATTGATCTTTGCAATCAATCAGAGTTCAGCTTATTGTATAAAAGACAAGAGACAAAATGTACATAATTAAACCACAGGTGCTTCAAGGGAACAGGAACACGACCCACCCCAACCCTCTAAAATTTTGGGCTTCCCGAGTTATTTTTTGATTTATTTTTTTAAGCACATATGTATGATGTATAATATATATATGTTGATGTATAATGCACTATAAAAATTCACAATTAATGCATTAATAAGCTATGTATAAAAATATACCAATGATATAAATAGAGAGGTTATTTATATTTTTTTTTTGGGGGGGGGGGATACATCAGATATCAGAGACATATAGAATAGAATAGAATAGAATTTATTTGCCAATCATGGTCCCACTGGGGGCATAACATAGATACAAGCATAATTTGTAACACTCAAGAGGACAAAAAAAAATACATGAACATACAGCAATACAGAACATAAAAATACCAGATGTTGAGTCTAAGCAAAACAGAGTTGATGAATAATTTCAATTATCTCCCTTACACCAGGAAGCCATATATGGCATTACAATTGAGTCCCTAAACTACAAAAGATTTCAAGGGACAGTGCTCTAGGAAATACATGTCTCAGAAGTGTAACTGTCTGGACAGCATTCCTCCTCATAACTTAAGTAGAACAGTAATTCAATAATGTTTGTATATACATATATATCTTTGGATACATATACATGTATAGCTTATTCCATCAATTGTGAATTTTTATAGTGCATTATACATCAACAAAATGCTTTAAAAAATCATGAAAAATAATTCAGAGAGCCATCAATGTTTTTTGGAGAAATTGCTACCCCCCCCCCCCCCCTTTTGCCTTTTGCCTTTTGAAAATGTTGTGTAACAGTTGATTAAAAATGTTGGCCAAACTGGGACTCGAACCCGGGACCTTCCGCTAACTGTGCGGGTGCTCTAACCACTGAGCTACCGGGCCGACGGACCCAGTCCCCGTTACACTCTTCCCCCCTTTTTCTTGAGGTTTTCCATCCTGAAAACCTCACCGAGACTCTTTTAAACCACCCATGGGTTTTATTATTGGGTGCCAAATGTAACAGGCGGGGAAAAATGTCGGCCAGACTGGGATTCGAACCCGGGACCTCCCACTAACTGTGCGGGTGTTCTAACCACTGAGCTACCGGGCCGACGTACCAAGTACCCATTAGAGTTGCAACGGGCCGGGGGGGGGGGGGGGGGGTCCTGTCCCCAAGCACCTGTGCATTAAACTATGAGTATCAGAACCTAATGGGGCTAATTGTAGAATTGCTGGTGGTTGGCTGGGAGCAAATCTCCCCACTTTTTTCCACAAAACAACATTAACTACGCCCAATAAAAATATTCAGCAAATTTAAGTTCACTGTTCAACGGAATAGGCCCCCACCCGATTTCTCCAACTTGATTTTGACGAGGATGTTAATTAAAGTAGTCTTTAAATTTGACCTATTTTTTACAATATAACTTAAATAAATATGACAAGTAATTCAGTGTTGTCTAGATTTAAAATTAGAAACAGCTGATTATTTCAAAAACTGAGAAAATTCGGTCTATCGCAGTTGAGATTATTGCTAGCCTACTTTCGTTTTCCTAAATATAAAGACTTTAGCATTTCTATCAACAAAGTAGTCATTATCCTTTTGTTGTTTCAAACAAGGGATTTGGCATTTCTTTCTACATACTTCGTTCTGGGATTGGGCATGCTGAATCTATTCCAGAGGCAGAGATCTACCGTATATATGATCATCAAACATTACACTTCCTGCCATGTGGTGTCTAGCCTCGCTTTCGTATTATAAGGGAGGAATAATTATTTCATTTTAAGGATAACTTGAAAAGAGATATCTCTTTCATTAAGAGAGATATCCCTTTAACTTAGAAAGATATCTCTTTTT